TCCCCTTACCACAAATCGCTCAATAACACATTCAGCAAAGATAGTCCAAAAAACAACAAATCTCATAACTAATGCGCGATGCGCGCAGCTTTGTGAGAAGGTAAAGTAAATAAATCCAACACAATTGCCAGATATGATACCGAAATGCTTATTTGTCCTAAACTTTATCCCAAAAGAAGGAAACAGTAAATCATAGAACAGCGCCCATTTAGATTAACGTTACGATTACCGTTACTCTTGCGCTCTTTATACGTATCCATTCAGGAGCTGCGCCAAACAGTACTCTTCACAGCGCAAAACCAATGCGTATGAAACTGAATACATGCATCGGCTTCGGAATTATGACACGCACAAGTTTCGTACTGCGAAATGCGATAACGGACTCGCACAGATACTGCATGAAAAAGCTTTGGTAGTTGAAGCTAATCGGTAATTCTATAAGCCTCAGTTATTATTATTTTGAAAACATAACGGGGCATTTTTCGTGCACAGTGTTAGCCAAAACTGTCACAGAATCGTGAAGTACTCGTTTGTCGTTTTGAGCGTCAGCCATTTCCCAAACCAGAAGCATGTACGTTAACAACGCACCACCAATCTGCAACATAAAACTAAATGAACATGATGAATGTACAGTGGAATATACTTTAGATCAGTGGTCAGTATAATGAGGAACCACAAATGGCGTGACAAACCGGACAAAAACCAGAAGATAGTGTAATCACGTATGTCGGCCAAAATCATACCGTTGTCAGGTATTCTTTATTAAAGGAGAAGTAGCCTCCAGCCGTAATGGTAGTATCCGTAGCTAACACTTCTTGCTGGAGCTCGGCTATCTTTCGATGTAAATCCAAGTCCGGAGAGCTGTTCTTGGTGTTGGCTGTTACACGATCTAGTTGTTTCGTGACCGCTTGTGCCTACAGTCGTACAACTCGGATTTCAAAAAGGCGCTATATTGTTACAATAAAGGTCACGCAGAACCTACTTCCTCGTGGCAGCGAACACACGCAGTCATTCGCGCAGCAAACTGTCCAATCATTAGAGACGCTACGCAGTATAACGTTACCCTGATCCCCTTATTCGCCATCTCCCGTTTCTCAAACAAAGCTCGTTCGGCTGCCTCGACGAGTTCACTACGGTGGATAATAGCGGCTACTGTGGCCACCCACGACACAATTTCCAGGATGCTGTCCATTAGGTTAGCCGTAGAAAAAATGTTGCTGATTTCTGACAGTAGGAAACTCAACCGGCGAAAATGCGCCATTTCCGCAGCCGTACGCCCAATGATTTCTTGAGCAGAACGAAATTCGTCCTGTGATAGTTTTTTTAGCCAAGTATTGACACCCCGGAATTCATAATTTAGTGGAATAATCAACGCCATCATAATTATTTGCGGTACCATGTAGGCGCTGTAATGTATAATATTACTGAAGATATTTAAAGAAGCCACCAAACCGGATGGTACATAAACAGGCACTTTTCCAAAAAACGTAACTGGGGTGTTCAAAGGGTCGGGAAAGGTCAAGATGAACAGGATTTCCCGTTGGTAGCCACACCATGCAACAAAGCCGGCAGATACCAGCATCCAGACTGCCAACAAGACGTATGGTGTTTTTTTTTACCGTTGTAAACCATTATTATCGCGAGCATCAGATTCGGAAGTCGTTTGCTGCAGACCAGGAATGTGCAGTAGACCCAGACGTACCGGATAGCTCGTATAATTCGGTACACTACTAACAGCAATGCATAAAATTGCAGATCGGTCAACTCCGGACGGTAAAATTCAAGGAGCATCATGACGTCTCTTGCCGTCATAACATTAGTAAGCGCAAAAATGAAAAGAGACCAAATGAAACGGGCTGGAACAGCATAGTTCCCTTGGATGGCACTGTATGACCAGGGTGATATCCCTGTCGCTTGCATTACAACATGGAACAAACGATAAACTCGACCAATAAAGGCCAGTGTTCCATGCATGATTTCGGCTATAAAACAATTCGGAATTTTTCCACGCCAAATACGTAAACTGCAACGATATTTAGTAATAATTGATAGAGTGGGACGTATGATGCGTCACCTTTGCATTCGAAACCGAGTCAATGTGACGTGATGTTTAATGTGATTAAAGTGCTGCTAAAGAATCGTAAACGTAATACGAAAGTGTCATTGTAAACACCTATTACAATTAGTAAGGGCAAGTCCCCAATGGCTAAGAGGAACATTAAAATAATAAGCCACATAACCTTAGTTTGCATTTGTTTAACGGCCTTGTGGCACTGATCGTACTACAAATACATGACATTCGAACTGAGGATTCCTGCAAGACAGCTGCAGAACCCCATTCACGAAAGTCAAATTTTTCTTAAAGCAACATATTTTGGAAAAAGTATTCTAATAGAGCAATGTACGGCTAATAGTACGGCTGTGTTTCGCCTAAAAGGAGTCGAATGATAAAGAAAATGGATTGATAACCTCCTATGTGCATCATACCGTTTACAGACTGCCACTATCATTAATTTTATTTCGGAATTTGTTTCTTAATTAAATAGCAAAATAAGGCTCAAATTCATCGCAATTTATTAAAGTATGTAGTGCAGATGTGGTTACTTTTATGAGTGCACATGAACAGCTGCGGCTTCGCCTCGCGTTTCTTGTAATCCTCGACGGAGATTGAATGAATACGGAGACGTTATCCTCAACCAGTTTGAAGAAATAATTTCGTTTAATTCTTTAGTGAATGCAAGAAATTTCATTAGTAGCTATTGTAAAATTTCCTACGCAAGCACGCAAAGTAGGGCTGTTGACTGACCATGCAGCGGACACCGATGGTTGCGGTTGCGCTGTGGATGAGAAAGGTTGGCGGGGAAAGTTAATGCTTAATGGGTGCACAGAGCAGTCGTGATTTTCTGCTTTGGTTTTTAATAAAGCACGTGTTTTGGCCCCTCAGCATTTCGTTTTTAAATTAACCGGTAACGCTGTCCCAAATATATCATAATTCATAAAGAAGTAAGATCAGATTTCAGCTTGCGGAAAACATTTCCCGTGGGAGCTTATGAGCAATAGAATACAAATTTAGATAGTGATCGGTAAATGCAGAACGCTAAAACTGCTGCGTATAATCGATGTTCGCCTGCTTTTAAGTGTTACTGAAGTCTCTTTCTAGGGAATTTGCATCCTTGATCATTTGCAAACGATAGAGCTGTATTCGCGTGGGCACAGTTCCAGGTTTGATAAGAAAACCAGTCGACTTTTACCTTTAACCATGGATTCGGTTGCAACATAATACCCTTGGAAGGCTAAGGCAAATGCGCTCAGCTAAAAGGCGAAGTCGGCTCCTACCTAGGCGCGCCATTAGTAATTCTGCATTTGCATCTTTTTAACATTGCGCAGGATTGTAATCAAAGGCGGCCATCTGTACAAGCTCCGTTACCTTCGCCGTTGTGCGGCAGTTTGAGTTGGCACGCATAATAACAGTAACCAACTTGTGGTATGTATGGGTGATGTTAATAGTGCATTAGCGCTGCAACTTGTATGTGTACAAGTTACGCATGCATACATACAACTAACGTTAGAACCGCCTGAAAACTGGCTTGTATGTATGGGTCGTAACGTGTTTGAGCGAGCTGGTGTGCGGCACGCGTGTAGGTGCCAGCTGCCTCGCATGTACATATACAAGTGGCCAATCTGACTGCCCGTTGATCTCCAAAATTTTGAAAACTTCTCTTTCGTACATCTCTCAACGGATCTTCCCAATCGACATATCAGAAGATGAAGAATTAAATTTAAAACTTTTTGGTATCTAGCAAGTAGATATTTATGGCGAATCAAGAAAGTTATGGCCGTTTTGGTTTCTCGTAGACTTAGCATAGGCCCGTGAAAGGAGGCGGTGGCTTGCATCCTATGTTAAGTCTACGAGAAACCAAAACAGTCATAACTTTCTTGATTCGCCATAAATATCCACTTGCAAAATACCAAAAAGTTTTAAATTTAATTTTCCATCTTCTGATATGTCGACTGGGAAGATCCGTTGAGAAGCAAACGAAAAACGAGCGTTTGAAATTTCGAGGTTGACTGGCAGCTGGATCGGCTACTTGTATGTATGCATGCAAAGGGGTGGAGTTACAGGCATACACGTAAGGGCCTTACGTGGATGGATTTTTGGCACCGCCTTCACACACGCATACATCTAATTTGCGCGGCAGCGAATCGCCGCGGTGTGGGTTCGGTCATGACGTAACTTGTATAGATGGATCCTTACTTGTCGGCCATACAAGTAACCAACGCACATGGTCTAATTTTCAAATGGCGTTAGTCTCTTTTTGGAAGTGAGGCACTGACGATAAAACAGTCAACTGGCTAGTCCACTTAACCTGCTGCGACAAAATAGCTACCAAGCCCGCAGTATGCGGCAAAATAGCCAACAAGCTAACAGGCCGCAGATATTGCGACAAAATGGTCACTCTGTTTTTATTGTCAACACCACCTAGCCAGTTACATGTGTGAGTTAACAGAAAAATCAGAAGAATTAAAAATCACACCATAATAAGCTCATTAAATTTTTCTTCCAAAATAATGGATGAATGTTCCAGACTAATAAAATGCAGCTAACGAATACGGTCATTCAGTTCGCGGCAGACTTGATACGGCGCTACGGTGCGGCTTCGCCCAGCACGCCGCATATCTTGTGCCACCAAAGATGATGGTCTGTTTCTCGCTGTCGTTAATTTTTGCTATGATGTTTGATTTAGTAAGCAATCTAGAGAGTTACCGCGTGAGTAAACACGTGACAAGGGTCACGCAGAGTTGGCGGTGCAAGAAGAGAGAAGAATTTTCGCGCTCTTAATCGTCTGTTAAGCGAAATAAGAAGGTGTAAAGTGTTACTGTGTTTCTTTTTTTACGTTATCTTAAGCCGCTTACACGACCGCCGAAGTCTATCGCGCAAAAACTGTAAACGAAACGTGCCATATCTAATTACTGTAAATGATTTTCTTGCATATGGCACAAAACCGGCATACGGGTCAAGGAAGGCAAACCCAGTTATCACAGACATGCATGTGTAACACGGAAAAATGTTATTATGTTCGGTGATCGGTCGGCAGCCGGGGATTATGGATCAATCGATAGCAGCCAAAACGTTTCGACCTTGCCTTTGCTCTGCAAAGTTCAGAGCAATTAAGCCGAATATTAATGGTGAACTTCAAATTAAGGTGCAGTGGTATGTTATAGAATCGCTTTGCGAAGAAGACGTTCATAAGTTGTTCATTTTAAGTTCATAAGTTATTCATAAGTTATTCATTTTCAGTTTTTGCAGAATTAACATAAGCAGAAAGTAAGTAACAATAACAAGAAGAGTACCGCTTTGAATGCACTGGTAAACCGGAGCGCTGCGTGAAGCGGTGGTGGAATGTAGTTTAATGTACAGAGTCTGTAGTACGAGTACCGTAATTATCGAATTTGTGGCCCTGGGGTGCAAATAGTTCGAATGCCATGGCGGAGGGGCGCTTATTTCGGGGAGGGGGCGCAATTTCGGGGGGTGGCATTATTTTTCAAACGGTACATTTTGGAGAGGGGCATTATTTTTCAAACAACTGCACATCGTGTTCTAGCGAAACTGAACGCAGTAGTTACCGGTATTATCGGCGGTATATGCAACTGCACTACCTTGGGAGCAATATTTTGGAGTGTATACCTCCTTATACAGCTGTTTGCCAACGAACACCGCATTATATTGATGTTTCTCATTAAATTACAACAACTTTTGCGGCTAAATTTTGCGGTATACCTATCATTTTGCGGCGCTCGACATTTATTAACGGCCCCCTGGGGCGTAATTTCGGGGGGTGGTCTTATTTTTCAAACAGGGTCGGGGAGGGGGGCTTATTACGGGGGGGGGGGGCTCTTATTGCGGGGGGCTCCAAATCCGATAATTACGGTATGTACTTACTGTCCCTTAATGGACTTTTTTCAGCGTAGGTATGTTAATGTTTTAACTAGTACTTTGCAGGTTTATTTGTGGTATACTGATAGTACATTAGCTCTTAGTACTGATGGCAATGATAATAATAATGGTAAGGATTAATGGCGAAATAAAATTATAAATGCGTACCTTACAGCTTACTCATACAGCATCCATAGCATGTAAAACAATGTAGAATACCTTTATTTCAATGCATCCTCTGGGTTCCGTTTTATAACCACCAATTTTGTGTAGAATTTGATGACTGCTTTGACTGATGTGTATTTTTCCTCCTGCAGAATCGTGCTCGAGAAATTTCAAGTTATCTTGAACTTCTTAAAGGTTACTGTATTCGTTGAAGATAAATAATTCGAGGCGTTTAGAAAATCAGCACAGAGATTATGGCCACTTCAGCTTAATAAACACCACTGGTGTCGATTTTCAAGCCCAACCATGTTCAGTACTACGTCAACAATACGTACGTACCCTCTCCATGGCTCTCCATTCGACTGGCCGTATTGACGGTGTCTCCAAACCTACATAAGACACCGTACATGCAAACACGCAGCATTGCCGAGTCAATGCCGACAAAAGCGACTACTGTAGTAAGGAAAGTTGGAAACTGCAAGCAGTACTTACAAACAATACCGTGGCATTCGATTTCCAACAACCCCAGCTGCACAGGGACCTGCAGAGTAAGAAAGATTGCGGTGTGAATCGTGAATACCGGTCACAAACTGTTACTGGCAGACAAGAAAGTGAAGAAACTGCACAAGTGATTTTTACCAGAGTGCATTCCTAGTCTGAGCTGAAAATCGACGCCGGTTATTACCATCGAGGACATCGGCTGTACCGCAGCCAGCATCCGCAGAGCTAAGCTACCGATTTCTCCAGCATGGCGGAACGTACCGTTGCGCACGGGTACGCCACTGACAACCTGTTACTCCACAGAATCAACCCCTGCTGTTATGACATCTGAGAGCTTATTGCTTTTGTCAAAGTACGTACGTCATATGTGGCAATCAACACACGCAAACCAAAAACACTGTGGGAAACAAAGAATATCATGCATGAAGAGGAAGAGTCTATAATAGGTAGTTGTTACCGATCATATGTAGTTGATAGTTCAAGCTTCGTACCATATAGGAATCCGCTATAGTTTCCACTTTATACACATCGTGCTGCTCCACGAGCCCATCCAGCGAAGTGTAAATGCGATGCAGTAAGCGAATGATAAAAAGCGGCTGGGACTGGGAGCACACATGGGCAAATTCCGGAAAATGTGTAAACAGAATGCTAGCGTCATCGAAATTTTCGGCTTCTATTGGCAGCTTGTTGCGCAGTTTGCGGACAATACTTCTACAAATATTAATTTTATATTGCAACTAAAGTAGACTATTCAATTTCCGGGCACTGGAGTGACTGGACGGAAGCTCTTTTGTTACACAATGCGGAATACACCACTTTGCTTACTCGGGTAACATATCCCGCAGCAGTTCGTTAACATTGTCCTCTTCCCTGACCAACTCCGCCGTGCGTTCGGCAATCCGTTTCTCCAGCTCTAATGAGTAATGTTCCAAGCGAGAAATAATACAATCCACAACGCTAGCCACAGTTCGTCCTAAACCTGACATCTTTCTGGTGTTTTTTCCATTTAGTACTTCAAACACATCACGTATCGAAGGGCGACGATCGGCATTATCCAGAAAACATTCTCGGAGCAGTTTTTCACCGTAAGGCGGAATTTCTTCGGCAGTTACAGCAATGCGCTGCATATTCGGAGACTTTTTCAACATGTTCAAGCGGCCTACAAGTACACTTGGTCAAATAAGTAATGAAACTGTAAAGTGACCGCTGTTTATTTGCTAATATTTATGTGTAGGTTATGTATTTATGTGTAGGTTATATTTATGTGTAATCGTATAAATTATTTTTTGATGGTAAAGAATACATCAGTCATGTTTTTCCTTGGGTATACAGACATTACCTTGTGTGTTTAACTGATCATTGAGCGAGACGTCTAACGGGATTCTTCTGGTAAATACTTCTGCCGTTATCACACCGAAACTGTAAATGTCTGATTCTCTGCATCCAGGGTGCTTTTCATCGGCGACCATTTCCGGTGCCATCCATAATTGCAGACAGTCATTTATGTCGCATAAATGGACATCCGTTAAACCGGAGACCACGCTCGTCATCCCGTAATCGGACAGCTTGATTCCGAAGCGATTATCAGCCATAACCGTCAGGCTGGAAAGAGCACCGTGGAAGCTCAATGGGCTGGAGTGGATGTATTTGAGTCCCTGTAAGAAATAATAGGAAGTAATCGATCATGTAGTGAGTGGCGACTCCCGCAAGACCGGCAATCGATTAAGCCAATAAAAGATTACTGGTAAATCAATAAACTATGCTATAATTATTAAGTGCATGAATTATATGAATGAATGAATGAATGAATTGCTCGGTTTGATGCAGATGAAAGTCCTTTCAAGTTGACTTAGAAAATAATTCAGTTATTACCGAAGCCATTTCTCGAATCAGTGCCATTTGCAGGTCGCTATCCAATGGAAAACTGCCATCGTCGAGCAACATGCGCAGATTGCCTCTGGATCCATATTCATATAGAAGCGAGACGCTGGCCCCATCAAGGCTGACACCATAAAATCGGGCAATATTGGGATGTTGCAGGTTTCGCATCTGTGAATCAAGGACATCATTACGTAACTGTACGTTCAATCAATTGTAGATCTGTTCTTATTTAAACGTTTATACGATTATTATGCCGAATTGCCATTATTCGCCAAGACTTACCTCTTCTGTTTTGGCTTAATCATATATCATGATATATGTGCTTAAAATTCGTAATAGTACTGGGTATGGGACAGTAAACGCATGCACAAACCGAATCTAGCGTCTGTCGAGCCAATTTAACGTTGTAGATCTGTCTGGGTGAAAGCTGGCAGGGAAAACATTCAGTCCAGACAATTTTGTTCTGGTAAAGCGATAACTTCGATAGCCATGGCAAGGACTTGGTGCTATACTGCGCATCGTCCGGCGTATATTGGCTCACTACATGGTGACCAGCATGTAAATACCACCAAGGGTTATCTGATTCCTTCTTACGCAAATGCGATCTGAAATACAGTCCCTCCATTTGAATCTCCTGAACCAGGATATATAAATCGTAAACAGTATAGTTTGCATTATATGCAGAGTGTGATGTTCTGTTTACATTGTAGTCTCAAGCTTTTGCAACATACCTGTAAAGAGCTACGACAAACATGACAACCAGCAACACCACCCCAGTAACGACTCCGGCAGCTATGATCCATGTTGAATCTATTTACGACAGCAGATACATCATACATGTAACGCTCTATACAATAATAAAGAGGGGTTCACGGCGATTACAACGCCCATTAGGTAACCTAAAATCAGTACACAGACCCTAAATATATATTTTTTTTGTATAACACACTTGGCACAGTACTTTTGTTTAGCAATGCGGTTTTGCAAAGCAATAATCCTACCAGATTTATTGCAACGATTATCAAGGTATCCGCACAAGGGTTCGTTTGGTGGCGGTCCGAATGAACTGCGCCATATATCGGCCAATGGAGAAACTTTGACCAAACTTTTTGTCGCTGCGTAGAAGTGCCATGCTTCCTGTTCGAGAACATAGAAATAAAAAATGTATCGTATTTTTTACAGTTTCTAAACTTTTTAATGGAATTAGCATGGTTTTTACCTCCATGTCTCCACTTGTTTGATTGATTCGATAGAAGCAAACATCTCTCAAACGCATTCCATTGGAGCCAATGGTTACGTTTCGCCAAGGAAAGCTGAAGCTGCGGTTAAAGAATTGTTTGGCGAGTTCTCGCCCGCTGAGTTGCGGGGAGAGATTATCGTAGCTCTCATTGAGCACCTAACGAGCAGCAACCGCACCTGGTTAAGTATTCAAATATTGAATTGATATCGAAACGAGTAATGTTGTTTGTTCTTTAGGCTTTACCATCGCCATCGCTGACATCATTTCGTAAGCCGACAAAGAAAAGTCATTCATCTGAAAACTGAAAACTGGTTAACAAATTGTGAATGTACATGTGCGCCATTTACTAATCCAAATTGATTTAGTCAGTATTGCAAACACCGAGCTTAGGTTGGAACTGCAGTTGCAGCAAAATGAAGGTGGTCATGGTTGTTGAAATTAGGCACCCATAGAATGCAATGATGTGTGCTACTGGGCGTCAGCTCAGGTGCCTTGACTGACCTTATCATCCATAGTGAAAGTCAGGTTATATTCTTTCCTTGCATAAGCAGCAGCATCATCCAAAACGTCCATAATTTGATTCCACTGTGCACGTGGGTGTTCCCAGTAAATCAAGCTGCGGAAGGCTTCGAAGGCAATCTGTAAACATTCACAAAAAACTGTAATTTACCCGTAACCATATTATTGTCATTATGGAGGGGATATCGTACGGGGTCGTTACTGTCGTTAAACTTCCATGTCTGTTTCCCTTCACCTGGTACAGGCCCCATGCGAGAAGACAAGAAAACCTACATAATGTAATTTGTATAACCATGTAATTTAGCCCTGCTGGGTGCCTGGCGCAGTATTTTCAGCGTCGTACTTACGTAATCGCCATTTGTCATATTCAGACGGTAAGCTGTTATCTAAAATATAAACCTATAGTGACCTTTCGTGCATGGCAGTTGTACGGAAATAGCGTCCGGTAAAGAAACACTATCCTATCCAAGCGTCGTACGAACAACCGAGTTTATGTTGATGTCACCATTATTTGTTTAAAATTATAGATGTGATATAATCACTGTTGGCATCCAGTAATCATGAGTGTTAATTTGTTTGTGCATAAGCAAGTTTCAAGGAATTAAAGATCACATCTCACCATGATCTGTCTCACAATTTTTGGAATACTGAAAATGACGACCACTGCAACATAAGAACTATGTAAACATAACTCCGTGCAGATCCACGTCATCCTGTCGTTTGCTGTTCCAATATTGATTTCAATACCTCTTGCCCGACTTTGCACATCGATCAGAATGCTTGTGAAGTCACTGAAAGCCGGTGTGTCGAAGGAATACATATAAATACTGAACTGGCCTAGTCTGGTTTCCAGCAGCCTTTTAACGCTGCGGCAGGATAGATAGAAGAAGGATCCCAAGCCTGGGTACTGATTCAGATCATCACAAAAGAACGCCACCGTCTGCCATTTGTAGCGTTGTAAGAACATTTGAGCGGCTAACGAAATGGACGAAAGGTCTGGAGGCCCACATGTTACAACCGTTGGATATCGAGCTTTGTTACCTAAGGCTTGATCTCCAGCCGTACTGCAAGTTGGGGTACAGAGTTATATAGCATGCCCCATGATTTCCTAAACTTTTGTCGTACCTTGACATGGTTAAAACGTTCCACTCTGTAAAAACAGATAACCGTTCAGAAACCGAACTGTATTATTGCCGATTTCCATGGTCGGAAACAGTTCACTACCCACCTCTAGCAAAGTCACCAAGGAACATCATTTCCGCACTGCAAGCTGAAAAATATTGACCGCTTTGAGCAACGTGGTTTTAAAAGTAATCATAAGTTTTGTATTTTTCATTTGAAATTTGTCTTTGATGTGTTTATCGACCGGAGCGCAGCGAAGGTCCTCTAATTCAGACAAAGTCAAAAAGGTGAAGTCTGTCTGTCCGCTACGGAAGTAAGAAATGACGTCATACAAGGAAGTAAATGTCGTCAAATAAGGAAGTAAGAAATTATGCCATATAAGGGAGCCGGAAATGACGTCATATAAGGAAGTAAATGCCGTCATATAAGGAAGTAAAAAAATTATGCCATATAAGGGAGACCCGGAAATGACGTCATATAAGGAAGTAAATGTCGTCAATTATAGAAGTAAAGAAGTTATGCCATATAAGAGAGCCGGAAATGACGTCATATAAGGAAATAAAATGATTTCCAGAGAAGGGTCACATCAAAGACAAAAAAGGAGCACCAGCCTTTGTCAGGTTATCGTAAAATTTGAGATCTGCAGCAAACATTTCTTTATTAGCCCAGCTAATTGCTTTTTTGAAAGGTTTAACACGGGTTTTTTGGCACTCGAGATATTGTTGCCACTACTCTGTATTTCAGAAAATTTTGAACTACTCTGTACTACTACTCTGCATTTCTACTACTCTGTATTTCTACTTTGAATTTACTACTCTGTATTTCAGAAAATTTTGGACTTTGATCAGACTAAAGAAAAAACATGTTCAAAATGAACTGTAAAGAGGTTTTGTGATATTCACAAAACCTCTTTACAGTTCATTTTGAAATGGTTGTGCATCTTGTTTAAAATAAATAACTTCCGGTGTCAAAAAGTTTTTTTTTTCAGATAGGGTGCATTTAGTCAGAAAAATGTTCCACAGGACTTTAGCCATTTGAGCTAAACACAGCTTCGTGCTTGGAAATAATTCTTCAGAAATCTGTTTCGATTGGTATTACTTCCGCAATATAACGACTTGCAACTGTACTTATTTAAGCGACTAAGCTGCGCTCCGGTCTGCCAATGCACGCCAAAGTGCATTTTCCTAGTATAAGGATGTTACGATTAGATGGTAGTTACCCGGAGTTAGTATGACAGTCACTCCTTTGAGTTCGGTGAGGATCTGGCCTATTTTTCCGGACAGCGGAATCATGGCGTCAGCAGCAGCAGCACACGTGAAGCTTCCCGGAAGATACATCGTATGCGTAGATATATTTGAAAAGACATGCGGATAACGTTGTCGTAGACGGTCAAACGCTACGATGTACATGGGGATCGTGGTCGTGTAGCCGTAAGCCGGTGTTCGCCCAATAGCGACCAGTATAATATTTAGCTGCTGGAACGCCTCTCCAAGTCCGATAAAGATTACTACGATGACGCTCCACATCAACACCTCCTTGGCAAGCATAATACGCAGATTAGTGCAAAGTCTTGTGTCGTTAACAAATCCTAGCTACCACACGACAGATCGTATCCGTTGCGTACAAAATCGCCGTATCCGGCGTATAGCCAGTGTATCCGTTGTAGAAACTCGGCGCGGAAGTTGCTGTTTTTACGTATCACTGTTTTCATGAAAGCTCGTATTTTGAATATTGCTAATTACTATTCATGACTGCTCGCCAGTAGTTAATGCGAACAAGCACTGGTCTATTGCGCGCCAATGACGTAAGATGTAGGCTGCGGTAATAAGAGTAAAAGAAGACTGATTTTGCCCGTCCATGGTGTTGTAAATTCTCCATGCTTATATACCTTGATATATAGTATTATTGATTAACACTTGACATACGGGCAATATTCCCCGGAAGAACAGTATTATTGCACTGTAAACACCAGCTTTTATCTTGGTCAGGTTAAATACAGTACAATGCCGACCAGTTCATGTATTCGTGTCAGAGAGACGTGGCCGAAGCTCTCAAAGTATCACGCGTTCCACGGAAACGTCATGATTGTGCGTATGTACGATCTGGATAACCTCGCAGGTTGCCGAATGTGTCGGTACGATGCGCCATTTTGTTACATCCTCTGCAGGATTCTGCTCTAATCCATCGTAACCCACAACCCAGTGGGTCAGTACCAGACTTCATGCATGCTAATAGGAGCGTAAAGTAATTAACACTACCTAGGTACATTATAGTCGACTCCACGGTCTCATTTAACCAATGATTTCGAATTTCGATTGAAATTAGGTTTTTCAATATCTAAGCCGAAATATGAGTATGTGGTTGGTGCTTTCGGAGCAATAAATTAATAGCCAGCTGCATATAGCCTAACTTTTCGTATAATTATTATTACAAGGGATGCACAAAACTGATTAACAGGCGGTTGTTGCCATCATTTTTGACAAAGCGGAATCACAGGCGGATTGCATATTAATGAGAAATTAATTAATAAAGACATTAGTTATCTAGCCACAGGGATAAAGCTTCTCTGAAGAACTCGAAGGCAAATTTCTTGAAAACTACAGCCAGCAGCTATAGACAGCTGGAGAAATTTCACAGTTTTGTATGTAAAATGAAGTTTCCAGACTAAGAACATCACTTTTTTAGCCACGGACTTAGAGAATATGTTTGGCTAATTGTTGCATGGGAACTTGTAATGCTATACGCAGCCGATTTTAAGGATGAACAATGCTACCGCAGTGCTTTTGTCGACTGCAGTTTCCAGTTGGCATGCAAATACGAGTATCAACGATAGCAACCGTGGTATGTTCAGCGGAGGCCATGTAGGCAATTCTACAGTTGGCTTTCCACCACCATTTATGGAAGGTCGTTATAGTGACAGTCAAAGGCAAGATGGTTTTGTGGCTTGTCAAGCAGTCTACTTCTGCCTGCTGATCCTGTTTACAGTGGGCAACGCCTTAAATCTGGTGGTCCTCATGCGTAGTGTGCCAGAATGGAAGACATCGGCATGCCACTATCTGATTGGAACGGCCGTTTCTGATTTGATAGCAGTGTGAGTTATTAAAACTCAGCAGCGAATAGACCAAACTATGCATCTTTAAAACAATTTATATGATTAAAAATGTGTAGAAGTATTATCGTCAACAGAGCATTTATTGTTATCTTAATTGTTCGTACGCAGAGTTTAAGCATTGTTCCTTGTAGATGGCTCGGCTTGCCCGATTTTTTGTCGAAACCAGAAATGAGTATTGATTTTCGGTTAACCAGCACAAAACTGCTGCGTCCGTGGTTTTCGAATACTTCGATGGGTGTTTCCGACTGGTGAGATCCTGGCTAGTTAGCAGTTTAACAATGCACCTATTTGTGTCCACTAGCATTATTATCATTTCAGGATTCTTGTTGTGTTCTCATGGGAACGTCTGCTTGTGATTTCGAGTCCGTTCCGGTTCCGATTTCTGCAATGTGTATTAGCAGCGCGCGTTATCATGGTCGTTCTGTTCGCTTTAGCGCTATCATGTTATGCGTTCGATGTCGTAAAGGCCTACTGCTTCTCTTTCTCCGGGTACATGGATCCTGTAGAGTATGTTTTCAAACCTCCCGGATGGTTTCTGCCATGGGACGCAGTGCATTATAAGGCAATAGTAAGTAAGGCAGTGCATAATAAGGCAACAGTGGTTAACTAAAGCAGACTAGAACGGCGCCTGGAACTTTTGCCGCATGACCCCGTACATTATTAATCGTTTAGCAAATTTCGTGTTTATCAACAAATTCAGCATGCACGGTTACTTCCATTTCCGAATGTTTCGTAATAACACTTTTTGCATTCTCTATGACATTCTATAAACAAAAGGTACTCAAACAAAAGATACAAAATAAGAGTCAAAAGAAAAAAAATCCAAAAAATAAAAAAGTTCATTTATATTTAAAACTCATTACATTTTAAAAGAAGTTGTGGAGATCTGGTTCGGTGTAAAAAAACCTGCATATTTGCGTACAGAACTACTAGTAAAATTTGAACAAGATTGGCCCATAACAAAATTTTGGTGCATTTAGCACATGAGCTGGTCATTGAACCCTTTAAATCCTTATGTTACCTGTAACTTCCTAGCCGGATGCTGCACTCGTAAAAGGTATGTAAGCTTATGTACATACACTATTCGACTGTATTATCATAAGTACGAGTAACTGCGAAAACGCTTTTGAAAGTGCGAGAAAGCGAAGCTTTTCGTTCAGTTAAGATAATTACCTATAAACAATCGTTTTAAGGTGCGCGCGGTCGCATCTACCAAGGGTCCAAGGCCACCCTTTATATCATTGCAAACACTTCTGAACTGTTCCTCGGCTAGATCAATTTCGGTCATTGTTATTTCCGGGCATGCAGAATTACACTTAATCAGGCGTCCGCGTAACGTACCTGTGACCGGACTTGATGTCAAGAGGGGGGAGTGTTTGCAGTATTAATGCAGTAGGCCAGGAGTCACGATCAGTTTTGGTTGGGTTGAGGCTGTTGATTACAAAATTTAAGTCAAAACGAAACTTTTTTTGTTGGCTGAATCTAATATATCTGATCTTTCATATTGTCTGTATTATTGGTAGCCTGCGGTTCGCATCCTGACATTTTTGCTGATCCTGGTCCCCAGTGTGATCCTGATTGTCTTCCTGGTGTGCCAACGACGGTCCGAATTTGGAAAGATGCGCCGCTTACAGAAAGTTAAAAGGGCAGCGTCCGCGACCACATCGGACAACAAGTCACAGCACGCAATCAACATCATCCTGCTGAGCAGTGCACTACTGTATCTCGTCACGCGCACCCCAACATTTTTTGACTTGTGTGCAACAGCCTACGCGAATGACCGTGATCACACAGCGGTCCACACTAGCTTTCCTTATTTGGACGACGCCAGTGTGAATTTATTTGCGCATCCAATTATCGATGTAGTCACTTACATGGGTTATTCGTTGAATTTCTATATTTACTTGTTCACCGAGCGCCAGTATCGACGCCGTTTTATTGAGTTAGTGGCTCGTCCATTATGCTGTCCCTGCTTCCCCGCACTAGCATTGATCACTAGCACAAGCGAAAGTAGTGACAACCGGCGAACTGAGGAAGTGCAAATGGACACAAGACGACCACTGGACACTATGCGGTCCCAAACATTTCAGTGCGAAACAAACATGAACTTCAACAATTTCTGAGTTTGCCGTTGAATTTGAAAACCAGCAAGGGCAAATGTTTCTTGGAAAGAAAAGATGCTAATATAGCGTTTTGTGAGTTGTCAACTAAAAGGTGTTAGTTGATGTTTGTGGTGGTATATCCTTCTGGTTGTATAACAAAGTAAGGTGACGCTCAACCCAATTGACCTTAATAACGATGACCTTTATCTAAACTCATTCAAGCTAACAGAGCAACAACATCAAGGCTAAGAAGATATTCCAGAGAACACTTTCCAGTCAAGATATTCCAGGGCTGCTAGCCATGCAAGATGATACTAAATCATGCACCAGAAGTTCTCTTCCCTCGAGCACTCAACAGTGATTTTTTAATACAGAATATGAAAGATGAGAGAACACGCCCTGAAGTCACAGACAAGATAGAAACCAGACAGACAGACTTATTATTGTGCCTAACTCCAATGTATTATATCGATAAAACGTTGCCACGCATGGGGGGTGGATTTTATTAACAAAATCCCTGGTGGACGAATTTGTCCACCGGAAACGAACAAACAACTGCACTGCAACCAACAACTGCATAGCACAAACGACAAAAGAACGCCTGCACAGGGCATGTACGCCTCCGCACGAATATACACAGATCCACCACAAAACAACAATATTGTGTTTGTGAACAGCAAAATCTTGAAGAACAAGCTAAATACATAGATTACTAGAAACGAAAGATTCCACTTGTCCGAAATCCCACGGTCTCCACGGTATCCGCATTCCTAGGGGTGGGCGGGCGGGAAAACTGCATGCAACTGGAAGTTGCCGGTATGCTGCGCTCTTTATATATGCGCCACCGATGACCGGTGGCCGGCTGAGAGGAGGAGTGGCTATCCGTGTAGGCCAATAATAAACAGATTCTCCCCAGAGAGAATCTTACTCATTTATTGATTGTTTTTTGAGGAATTAAAGTCCACTTCACACGCTTATAATTGGTTAACACTTCCACGCCACTTCCTTGATCTTCCTCTACTCACTTTCCATAGGATAATCCCAACACTTGCTGTCTACCGTCTTTCATTGTGTACTTATGCTGATCAAGACGAGTATGATTCATACACACTGTTCCTTTCCAACCGCATCACGCTATGACTGTCCATACAAGGATGCGCACAGTCAAAACGCGGACTTACATCGAGCATCTGCGACTTACATCGAAGCGAGAAATAGGCGTACCAAGTCTTAATTGGCTGGGCTTCGTTGTAAGTCGATTTTCGCTCGATGTCTGTCGGTAGGCGTCGACGAAAACCGTTACCAACATGGGCGTACCTTGTAACGGGTCTAAGCGACGCCCAGCGACTTACAAACTTCGTGTTTCTGCGATCTTGATTGGCGGGTCTGCATTTTGAGTTAGATCGAGGCTGCCCACCGCCAATAGCAAAATTCCAAACCACGTGATCGTTTCTCTATACTTTGAGCTTACGGCGACGGTTAAACGATAAAATGATAGGGCTTCATATTTTTTTTGAGTTTTTGGTTCTTGCCTTCTTGTTTATTTTTGAAATTAGAATTGTAAAAACTGATAATTTGTATGGCATTATTGATGCATCTATAGTGCAGGGATGCCTGCGGTTTGGGAATCCAGACTGGACTGCGCAGTATCAGTGTTGGGCCAGGTGCGCCCCTGTTTACTGATTACTTGTTGTCTGATAATCGCTCAATTTGTTTCTGATCCCATTACAGCTGACTAGCGTATTACAAATTGATTTCGACTTGCCAAAAGGTTCATAAATTCTTGTGGCTGTCTCTAACAATTTGTGGTATACTTGTCATGTAGAACTGCCGTCGTCTCGCAGGGAACCCTGCGCGCTGGCTACCCAGCTGCTGGTGCTGTTTACAGTACACCCCGTTATGAGCTTGATTTCTTAATCTAATTTAATACCGGACTTCGACCAATACTGCTGGACAGCCTTCCATCGTAAGTCAGAAATTATTTTCTGATACCATGTTAATTTAGCGATGTATGAGTTGAATGATTTGTTGGTCGCATAAATTTAATTCTGTTTTTCGTCTGTATTTTACGAAAGAAGATTGTATACTTGCTTAACCATGTGGCGGGTTCCCGCTTTGGTCTGGCTACCCAGACGTTTTGTTAACCGCAGTCTTTTTATTCGTTTTTAACTGAAAAGAATATTGCGCAGCGATACTCAAGTGCATATTGTTTTGATACTTGATTTTTTTCAGTGATATTGTTTTGATACTTTTCAACAGGTTATATTTTTAGAAATTCAAATGTGGTGATACAATTTAGAAGCATACTGTCTGCGCGCATAATGTCAGTCTGTATGTCATGACATTTGTGCGCATGCGGTCGAGTTTAGCCCTTACATACATACATGCTAGACGTGTAAACGGGCGCGGTTTTGCGTTCGATGTCTGTATGTCAAGGGTTAAAAACGTTGTAAGTAAGTCCGCGTTTGAACTTTGCGCATTTGCTGGACTGTACTTCAACCAGCCCTACTCGTAACAGAGTATAAGTTTTTACAATGGACACAATATTATGACAGCAAACCGTTATAAGCGCCTCCTCCATTCCCACCCCATTTATTATAGCCACCCCTTTTCACACCCTGTTTATTACAGGCAGCATTAGTATGGACTATTCGATAATCTATTATGTGTGCCTATTACTTAAAATTTTCATATAAACTTCGGCGAATTTCACTGCAGTGATAGCCTTATGATCATATGAACCTACAAATCATGTTAAGTACCACAAACGTTGGTAAGCTCCTGAAAGCGGTCAGGTCATACTGCAGTCATAATAACAAAATTGGGAAAGTTAGAAAGGAAGGTAACTGAAGTCGAAGCTAAGAAATGCAAACTTCCTTCCCAGTTCCCATCAGGCAGCTAAATGGAGCAGATCATGCAGAGAGTAGAGTTACCTCGCGCTAGCAACTGTATGCTACAAAACTTTCCAGCAACATCCCCAGCATTGCTAAAAAAATTACAGAAATGCGTATATACTGGCTACAGTCACACTTAAATACAAGTAAGTAAAATCATCCCTCATTCGTTTTCGGTATGTAGTTATCACCGGCCAGCATTGTTGATAGATACTAGATAGTAACGGAATAGCTAAAACTCATAGCCCTGGAGAAACTGATTTAAAGTGCGGTTTGCGTTCTGGCATCTTTCCATGTGAGTGCCAAAACAGACAACAAAGAAAATTCAGCAGGGCCAGGCGACATCGCTATATGTACTCTGTACACACAGAATGCCTGCCAGTCTTAAATCATTTTCGCAGTAAATAATTCCAGTAAGCCTGTATTGCAATATTTTAATATTTTTAGTAATCAATGTTTTGTGAAATTTATAAATTCATTATATAAAGTGTGCCTGCGATAAACAGGATGAAAAGGGGTGCTTGTACTCAGCAGTGGCACGCCGGTCACCCGCTCACCTAACGGGATCCCCACACTGGACAGCACCGGTAGCTTACAGCACACACACTGGAAGTACAGTATCCGCACCCTGGACAGAAGAGATAGCTCGGCCACTCGCTCACCTAACGGGCTCAACACGCTGGACAGTACTGGTAGATCAGTCACTATAATTGTTAGCGCTTAAATGGTTTAAGGACAATGGCCCGGTACATGGTGTCAAAAATGGGATACATACACTAAAACTTTCACTTTCGCGCACTCCGAATCACTTTTTTGTAATACTTTATGTCATTCTAAAGCCGAATGATTTGTATACATTGTTCTGAAAACCGTTTGCACGCGCAACATCCGGTTGCCGAGATATGGCATATTACAATGGATAAAAAGTTTAAATGCATTGGTGTGCACGAAAAGTCTGGTTATTACCCGATCTTCTTGAAACTTTGCTGCAATAGACACAAGGCCATGAGGTCGAAAGCACAGGTTCATAGCACTTTCCCATAATTTTAAAATGAATTTTAAAATTTTTGAAATTCATTTTAAAATCGGAAAAAAATGCTATGGATTGGTTCACTTTCGACTTTATGGCCATGTGTCTTTTACAGCAAAGTTTCAAGAAGATCGGGTAATAACCAGACTTTTCGTGCACACCAATGCATTTAAACTTTTTATCCATTGTAATATGCCATATCTCGGCAACCGGATGTTGCGCGTGCAAACGGTTTTCAGAACAATGTATACAAGTCATTCAGCTTTAGAATGACATAAAGTATTACAAAAAAGTGATTCGGAGGGTGCGAAAGCGAAAGTTTTAGTGCATGTATCCCATTTTTGACGCCATGTACCGGTCCATTTCCCTTGATAGTTACCTGACGTCTCGAAAACAACGTGTGAAAATGTCCCAAAAAGTGTCCGACTGGCTGCCAGTGCAGTCTGGGGTTCCGCAGGGCGCACGCCTGGCCCCGGTGCTGTACACGTTATATACCAACGACATGCTGCCCGGACTTGATGCTGAATGTTTTGCGGATGACATAGTTCTGTACGGTGTTGGTACCACGCACGAGGAGGCGGCTTTGAACCTTGGTGTCCAAGTGGACAAGGCGACCGCCTGGTTCACGGAGAATTCCCTTTGCGTCAACGAAAAGAAAAGTAAGTTGATTTACATTTGTCTACCCTCGCGGAAAAGCCAACAAGCGCCTACAATTAGTCTGAACGGCTACCAGCTTGAAGCGGAGAAATACGTCAAGTATCTTGGCGTACATACTGACCAGAATCTGAAGTGGGAAGAGCAGTTTGACCATGTGTTGCGGAAGGTGAACTACGGCATCGCAATGATAAACGCAGCGAAGGTTGGTCTGGATATGCCACAGCGAAGAAGTCTTTACCATGCTTGCGTGCAACCACATCTTGACTATGGGTCGGATACGTGGTCACCAGCATCTTCGACTTTGCGCGGCAAGCTAGCCAGAGCCCAACGGAAAGCACTGCAGGCCATTACTGATTATAAGGAGTCGGTAACCCCCGAGCTGTATCAGCGATTACGCATCCTGCCGTTGTTCGACCGTTGGAAGCAGTTCGAAACCGTCT